AGGTTCTCAATTTTGGGAACTTGGAGAAACCTTTTTTTCATCCATCCAAATCCATGGATCCAAGATGCAAGGAATGAAGGCCCTCTCTTTGGGTGATTAGCCTTTGCTTATGCAAAGAGGAATCTACAAAGGTATTGATTTCTCAACTCACTTTGTTTTTGAGTTGAGTCTTGATTCACCTATCTACTAGGCTTTGAATTTCATGGGTAAATGTTTTGTTTTAAGTGCATACAAGCATGATTCCGCCTTTAATATGTTAATTGCATGCTATTGATGTTGCTTAAATGAACATGTTTTTCACAAATTTTCCTTCATTCATCTGCTGGGTATCTCATTCTTTCTCATGTAAGCACTTAAAAGATTAAGCCTATAATGTACCACTCCGTAATGTTACTTGAGCTGACTCTTAAACATATTAAAATACATTAATTTAAGGTAATATTAGGTAGACTAAATTTGTAAACTAAATGATGTGTCACCAATTAAAAATAAGCATATTAATCAGCACTTCAGTAATAATCCAATCGTTAACTTGAATGTTATTTAATTTATAAAATTTAGTCTCCCTAGCATTACCCTTCGAACAAATGCAATTACTAAACAATAATAAACCTTAGATGCAAAAGTAAACACTATCAACCCTTAATTTAGAACTTAGAAGTAATTTGCAACTCAAAACTGTATATGTTAGCCACTTAGTACAACAATATAATGATATTCTTTTTTACTTATAAGTGCGAGGTTTTAGATTCAATTCTCGCCAAAGGCGAATTTGAAACATATTATTGTTAGTAGCTTACTCCTCCATCCCCTTAATGTAGAGAATATCGTTTGTTAAAAAAAAAATGTACATATAAAAAAGAATGTGACAACCCATCCCCAGTTCTATGATTTTATAAATTTTAAAAATGTGAATTTATGAAAATGCCCTAGATGCGAGGATATTGACTTTCATTGACCAACATATAGTGAGATGTATGACATATTCTTTTAGCGTATTCTTGAAGTACTCAACGATATGAACGGCGGAATCGAAATCAAAGTTACGGTTAAAGTTTTACAGAGCTACGAATCCAAAAGTATTTTTTGAAGAAATCACTATTTTAAATATATTATACTATTTTATACTACTAAATTGTTATGCCATATGCGTGTGGCTGAGAGGGGAAAAGAAAGGAATCGGGGATGAGGAGAAACAGAGAAGGGATTGGGTAGAGTTGCCTAATTGGAAGAGAAGAGAGGGAGATAAGGAACGAATCAGGAGAAGAGGGAGAAGAGTCTGACCAATCAATAAGGAGAACATGAGGGAAATGAGAGAAGAAGAAGAAGAGGAGGGAACCAAATCGGGTCTCCTTTGACCCGAATGACTCGACTCGACGAAAGCCATGGGAATTGATGGTTTCCTGGCCAATTTCTGGCAAATTAAGCCAAGCCACCACTTGGAAACCATCCCATGACCTCCACTCTTCCATTTTCATCCATTCATTGGTGGATTTTAGGCCTAGGGTTCGTGAATTTGCACTGGTGGGTTCATGGGTATCACGGCGGCAATCCGCTCATTTCCGAAGAGTTTTCCATCAACCACCACCCTTAATAGACTTCCAACAACCCTAGAAACAAGGCCCAAGCATTCGATGAGGCAGCTGATCTTTGGATTCGACGAATCGAGGCACACCCAATTTTGGGTTCGTGGGGTTTTGAAGCTTTTCCCAGCCAAATTAGACTTGGCCACAGGTATAAAACTTGCTCTACTAGTTGTGATCTTCAATTTTGTAAAATTTGAGAATTTTTGGAATTAGTTGAATTTTCTGGCGAGTTGGGGTGACCGACCGCGTGCAACGGCGCATGGGTCGAAACCCCACCTGCCCTTCCTAGACTAATGTGGTTACTCTGTTTCATATGTGACGTTCGATTGACGAAATCTCGTCGTAAAACTATAGTTTTGATAGAGACCGCCACTTGGATATTAAATGAATCGACGATTCAACCGTTGGATCGTCACCAAACTTTAATATGTTATAGTACGTAATATTTGAGGATATTAGAAACTTATAGATCGGGAATCCGAAGTACAAATCTTCTCGAATTGGACTTGTAAGCTCGTAAAATAAAACATTGACAACCACTTGAATTTGCAATTGGTGGAGATCCAACCATTAGATTGTAATGAAATTTTAGTATGATGTTCTAGATGAATAATTTAGATCTTTGGAAGTTACGGATTAGAAACCCGAGTTACGGATCTTCCGAATCGGGTTACGTAGGGTTGTGGACCCTATAGTTGACCTTTGATCGACGGTTGACTTTTGGTCAATGGGTTTGTAGAACGTCCTTGAGTATGCGTTTTATGTAAGTTACGTGTTCTATCGATAAGAATTCTAAGATATGATTTGATAATTGTTCTAGGCGACAATCGTTTGTGGCGCCTCGATGGGAGTTGTAGCACAGACTTCAGGTGAGTGGGTCTTTTCCTTTTTATAGTGTGTGTGTGTGTGTGTGTGTCTATATATATATATATATATATATATATATATATGATTGATTGATAGTTTCCAATTATGCATTTGAAAAAGAATTTCTAACATACGCCTGGATTCGACTAAAGTTTATAAAAATTAGCAAAATGACGGAATTTATGAAACATGCTACATCCCATATATATATATATATATATATATGATTGATTGATAGTTTCCAATTATGCATTTGAAAAAGAATTTCTTATGTACGCCTGGATTAGACTAAAGTTTATAAAAATTAGCAAAATGACGGAATTTATGAAACATGCTATATCCAACGGGATGCATATGTATGCTTATGATCTTTGATGCCATAATTATATCTACAGCTATGAATGTTATTATGTTGATTAGAATTATTGCATCGTTAAGGCATGCTTATATTCATGTAGTCAGCTCATCATTGTTGCACCTCGGTGTTAGTGCTCACCCCGGGCTAGGGCCAATCCTTCATGTGTATGTTCACCTCGTGCACCGTATGCTTGCCTTGGATCCAAGTAGGTGCCAGTCATGTCGTACAGGTCGCATTAGGCGACTTCAACTCGTAGATGATCGCGATTATCGCCAGTCTTCAAGTGATCGTAGCATTAGAGCGTATATCGTATATTATTACATCGTGTCCTGTCATACAGGTCGCATTAGGCAACTCTGACTCGTGTGCTAGCATAGATTAGTGAGCAATAAGTGCAGTCGTACATGTCACATTAGGCGACTCCGATTGGTATGTTAGCATAGGTTGTTGAACAACTGATTTTACTTATATTACTATTGAGATTTTGTGATTTTGGGATGTTATGCCTTATTTACGTTTTGCAAGCTACAGTAAGTATTTTCATACTATACGTAGTATGTATATTTTGGAAACTATACATGTTTTACGGCGAGGGATTATAACGTTTTCAAAGGTTTTTATGAAAATTTTATTTTTAGGCCCACTCACCCTTTTTTTTCGCCCCTCTAGGTTTTAGTAGCTGAGCTTTCATATCAACAAGGATTCTTGACAAATCTTGGGGTAGACGGTTACCTTCAATGGTATAATTTCATACCCTATTTTACTGCATTGTACTTATACTCTGTCATCACGTGTGAATTGGGTTCATTCCCGCTCACAGTGCACTCTTGTATTTAGGCATTTTTAGGTTTGAATTTATTCACATTTCCACATCACTACACTTTATGGCTTTGTCACCCTTCAGGTGTGGACCAGCAAAGCTCGATTCAGAGTCCAGATAGATGTTCTAGGCTAGGGGTGTGTAAAGAAACTTTTTATACAAGTCAAATTTCAATGGACCATCACTAAATATATTAAGTTTGGATCCATTAACAGATGCACATAGGTTAGAACGAGACATTGACCATAGCCTATTAATTGGAAAATAAAGTAACTTCATTAACTACAAAGTAATATATATTATACGTAAATACTAAATATTAATACCTTTTTTCCAAAATCAAACACACAAACACATGCAAAACATAATACCCCAGAAAATACGTTACCATTAACATTATAAAATCACTGAGAGTTAAAATACGTTTTTCTCAGGGACTTGGTCCAAACGGACCCTTATTTTTATGTCACATTTTTTCTTACTTTATTTTATAATTTATTGTCATTTAGTTTATGAATTATTGACTCTTGTTATTGGACTCCCTTCACTTGTTTTGTTCTGCAGATCTTGCAGATCTCTCAAACTGTGAGGTCATTGCATGAATTGAAGTTAACATGGGGATGACTGAGTTTGTTATGGCAGTTACCTCATTCTCGGCTCCCCGGAGCCGATCTTTATTGTTATAATTAAATTATATTAAAATATCGTTCGAATAAATAAAATTGAATTTAAGAAAATAAAATATTCTTTGTATACAATGATAATTATTATAACTAAGGTCGATCGTACAACAAAATTCTACACAATAATAGATATATTTGTATAATTGCAATTCATTCACAATAATTATCACTTTATTATTATTTGGTGAAAAATGTAACTCAACAAGTAATATGACTTTATTGTTGTAAAGTTTTTATTTTTATTTTGAGCGTAGAACAGTAGAAGTTAGGTATGTCTGACCAAAAACAAAAAAGTTGGATGAGGATCCCCATCCTTTTTGTGAGGATACTAGGGATCAAGTCATTTCAGTTGTTTATCATACATCATGCGATCAACTTTTATTAGGAACTGTTTGTGTTTAATTTTATATAAAAAGTTCAAAATTATTTGTGGCCGCAGGATGACTAATGAATAGATACGATGAACCCTTAGGATTCTCACACAGAGGATCCAAATAGCATCTTGCTCCAAAAAAGTTGGCTATGTGGACCAGATTGTGTTAGGCTACCAACCTTTGTACAGTAATGTAGACGGCCCAAATGCCCCAAACCATGAAAGCCTTTGAAAGGTCCTCCTCCTCCATAGACAAATAAAATCTTTCTCTCCCTTACAATATTTTGTGGCCTCCCGATATATATTATTCCTATACAAAAACTCAAACTCTTGGCTATAGTTCACGAATAGTGAAGTGGCGAAAATGCCCCCAAAATGATCTTCTTAGTGATATTTTTCCCACTTTGGCACAACAAAATGGCGATTTTGCCCATCGTCTCCACGTGTCGATCATCGTTGGGATTCCTGTTCAACTTCTTTGCTTTTTGTTTTTTCTGATTTCCATCTCTCCTCTGCATCTTTTTCTATCTCGCACTCCATTTCTTCCTTCTCCAGCCTTTACATATTTTTGGCCTCCGTTACCAACTTCTGTTTGCTAAATTTTCTCAATCCTGCGAATTTATTTGTGCCCTTTTTGGATTTGATTGGATTCCCTTTTTTACCCACATAACCTAACATTTTCTGGTGAGCTTTCCGGCTTTTTCAGTCTAATCGATTTAATTTTTTATGGTGGTTTGCATGTGGCTACCTGATCTAGTTTGATTTTGGCTTGCATGAAACATTGGTCTTCGAATTTTGGGGTTTTTGTATGCAAGCTTGCACGCCCTTTGTGATCAAGGTATATAATTTTGGGGCTTTTGGATCTAGGTCTAAAAACTTAGGTAGTTTTGGGATCAAGTCCAGTTATCCAATTACATATTTTGATATCAATTTTGCCCCTTTAGATAAAAATATTGAAATTCTTTAATTTTTTTTTTTATCATTTATTCAGTTTTTAAATTTTGAATATTTAAATACTCAAACTAAAATATTATCTAGTAACTACCTACCATTTATGAAGAAAACAAAACCGATATAATCTAGTAACCAGCTACCTATTGTATAGGAAGAAAATGCTTTATACCTACAAAGCATATATGATCTACCTGCAAAACAAAAATAAACTACCTATTGTATTGGAAGAAAAATGCTAGGAACATACATGGCGGAACATAAAAATATAAATATGATATAATATACCTCTATTAAACGAACGAATTTGGAGGGAAGAACACAAAAATATCATCCATGAAAAGAAGAGACAAAAAAGAGGAGGATTGATAAAGGGAATTGTTTGGAAGAAGTAAAAAAGGAAGGATGAAACGGATTGGGGGTTGAGGATTATATGACTTTAACTAATCCTACAATTAAGGGATTAGTTAAACCACAAATTATCTCATTATTAAGAAATTTTGTGTATTTACTACAATTGTAAGCCTAAAGGGTAAATATGGTACAAATCACAAATAAACATACATGAAATCTCAATTATTGGATCTATTTCAATGAAGTGGACTAATTCTACTAATGGCTCACAAAATTGGATCTATATCAAGTTATCCCTATAATTAATTTTTGTAATTTTTTATTTTTTATTTATTTTGTTTGTGTGTTTCATTTCTGAGTGTGGGTGTATGATTTTGTTGGCCATGTTCTGTTTGCAAATTCGTTAGCTGTAAAAGATAAATAAATAAATAAATAAATTTGGGGTTTTTGTTTGTGTGTTCGGATTTTTGAATATTGGTGTATGATTTGGTATGCTTCCAGACTTCCAGTCCACAGTTGAGAGACAAGGAAGTTTCAAGAGATCAAAGTTTAGGGTTTTTGTTTCGCCACAAAGTAAGGGTAAGTCTTTTCCGGATTTTACTATTTGTGGTATTATTATTTTCTTCTCAATTTTAATTGTTTATAGCAATCAATTTTCCCCAATTTTCCTTCGGTTTTCTCTTATGAGTATTTTTTATTTGGTGTTTTGTGTCCTAATTCCTTAGTCACCTTTCACCAACTAATCATTTTTTTCCATGGTAGTCCTTTGTCTATTTATATATCCTAATCATTTTTTCTATTTATCCTAATCATTTTTCAGTTTATCCTAATTATTTTTGTGTTCTATGACCCTATGGATTACAATCTGACAATTACACTGATTCAAATGAAATTGATCGAATGAATGAGTTAGAAACTAAAAATACATTAGTTTCATCAATATGTTGATCAAATGAATGAGTTAGAAGCAGAAAATTACATTAGTTTCTTACTGCTTTTATTACTGAACATATTTTGTGTTTATGTAGTGCTTTATTTTCAAGGTTATTTCTTTCAACACCATGTGAATGTATGAATGGTGATTTGAGGAAAATGTAGACACGGCTATTACCATATTTGGATGTTTATGTAGTGGTATTAAAGCTAAGCAACCTAACTCAACCATTAAAAATTGTGCTCGAGTTCAGTGTATTAAGAATGGAGAAGGAGTTGAAGGTTGAAGTGGAAGTGAATGGCTATGTTTGCCATAAGAATTTATTGAGGTTGCTTGGTTATTCAGCTAAAGGAGCTCATAGGTAATTTTTATATTCATTTGCTATATCCTGTAATCTTTCAAGTTTTGATCTTTTGCTAAGTTGTGTTTTGTTTTTTAAATGCTTTAGGTTCATGGTGATGAAAGCTACTATATTTAAAATCACCACTTTTTAGTTCTTTCCATTTTTCAATGTATCAGACAACTTGGTTCTAAGATTCGTACATAGTTATGTTCTTTTTTATCTTGCAGATTTAAAAACAACGATTGGGTATTTCTCTCTGGTAATTGTGTGGGTGAGGTTGGTTTCCTTTCTCCACTTTTACTAATTTTATTTAAGTTCATCTATGCTATATAATTGTTTTGGGAATTATTTGGAATTTAATTCAACTCTTCTGTGTTTCATTTAACGAAGATTCAAATTTTATTCAATAGTTTACTAATTGTGTGTTTTTTTCTTAAAAACATGTGACCCAACTTTTTCTCTTAGAGAGAAGAGCATGCATTCACTTTACTTAGGGTTGTCTGCAAGAGAAACTTACAGGTTAGTTCATTTCATTAGTATTCCATTTTACTTGAAACATCTCGACATTATATTATTTAGCGAAATAACACAAGCTTTGTTTTTATGCAGAAACCTTTGGTGTAGGCTTGAAAATTTTGTCTTTGGCTGACTGATCAATGCTGACAGGTACAGTTATAGTTAGTTATAAGAACTTCTTGAATATTCTTAGATCTCAGGTCTGTTTGGGGTGGGTGTTTTGCCAGTTGGGGTTCATTTTGGGAATTGATCGACGGTTTTGGTTTCAGGAAAGAGCAGTGCCTGTTTTCTGTGATGAATCCTCTCGCCTTGCTTTATTCGTTGCAATATCATTGAAAGGTCAATATTTCTAATTATTATTTTTTTTGTTTTTGCTGCATGTTGATGCATGTTAAGCCTGTTTTCTTCCAACCTTAAATACATCCTCTTTTCTATTTGACGAACTATTGATTTACACACACACACACACACACATACATATATATATATATATATATATATATATATGTTTGTTCTCTGTGATTTTTTTGTTGTGGTAAGGTAAATGATTTACTGAGTTGTAATTTTTGTTACGGTAAGTGATTTGATGCTAGTATGTTAGTGTTATATAAACAGTAAAATCACAAAAGACGCTATATTGTAAACCATTTTAATAGTAGATTGTTACTAGACTTATCTAATTGCAAAAGTTTGAGTTTTTTTTTTTCTGAGTTAAGCATTTAGCTCTTGGATTGCACAAAATCAGTATTTAAATAATTTTTTTTCTATAAGAATGCGGTGATGATATTTTTTCCCCAACAAATTTACATTTGTATGTGGTTGTGATGAATATGCCTTATATGTTGTGTTGTAGATTATTTGGGTCGGTATTGGAATACATCTTTTGTAATCTGAATCCTTTTACTGATTTAGCATTCGCAAATGGATCTTCTGTTTAAAGTTACTTTTTTATGATTTTGAATGTTTTCTTTGTACCTTCCAATCTTGCATGTAGGTGTATAATTTGGTTTTGTCATTAAGATGAGCAATTTCAAATGCTTCCTTTGGGTTTTCTCAAACAAATAGCTGAAATATCTTATATTAGTTAATGTTATTACGTTGATTGTTGTTCATATTATTTGCTTGCATTTCCTATTCTTATGATTTATTTAAAAAGATAAATTTGCTTTAATTAGTTTGGTTACTTTACAGGAAATCTTATATGGATTTTTAATCAACGAATTCCAGTTTCTAACACTTAATTTTCTTCAATTGTAGGTATTTGAACGTTATATGTCTAAATTTTGTTCAATAATTAGAAAGAACCTTTTGTTCACTAGGTAAAAGCCATATTGCTTCTATAGCATAAAACTACTCTTACACAATCAAAGTATACAGTGTATACATATGCAACAGATACGTTGGAAATAAAGTACAACATAAAATATTTGTGTTTTATTGATTAATTGGCTAAGTTCGTGATGGTCATTTGAGGCTATACAAACTAAATTTGTTGTAGGTAAGCTCATTTTTAGGTAAGAACCATGAATCTCTAATCGTTTTCAATTTTTGCTTATTCCAGCTTCACATTATTCTAAAGCCATATTTATGGAAAAAAAAAGGTTTCCAACTGTGACACCCAAGAAAGGTAGGAGCTTCTCTTTCTTTGTTAACTTATTAAAAATGGTTTCCTAAGCATTGTTGTTTTTAATTTATTCATTTGCAGTGTGGAAAAGTTGTTGATTATCTCATTGACCCCACCCTTTACTGCCCGCACAAGTGGTCGACGTTCCGAATCGCTTTCTGTAAGTAATGTTTCAATCTTTGTAATATTCTATTCTTTAAATTATTGTTGTGATGTTCTGAATCATCAAATTAGGTATAAGATCAGTGGATCTGCTGAATTTGATAATATTCTTCAACAATGGGGTGAGCTTTTTCACATTGCATTATAATATTTAATATATAGAATTAAGCATTGTAACTTTCAATAATCTTTTTCTTTTGAGTGATGTATTTCTGATACTGTCTCCTCCAACTAAGCTCTTGAAAAGCTTTTCTATAAAACTTATAGTTGTTTAAAGTGTCTTATCCATCCATTAATCCTTTACCAAAATAAGCAAATCATTTTAATTAGTTTACGCCAGAGCATATGAATTTTCAGTTACCATTTTGATTGTTTAATTACCCATGTTTCTAACATTGCATCCCTTTTTTTTTTAATAAATGAGTTTCATTCTTCGTTCTGAAATGTAGTTTACAAAGGAAAATCCATATGCAAACTAATCTACAACAACTCAAAGTTCCAAGATCAAGAAGAGTTGATGAAAGAAGCAGTGACAAGCATTTTACAAACATCTCTTAGTTTTCGTTCAATAATCCAGGCGTATAACAGTCGCTGAGTTGGAGATTATATACTTCTCATGTTTCTACTCCCTGGTTTGGTAAAGAAGAAACTTATATTTTGTTTTACATTTAACTCAGTATAAATTTCAGGGGTTGTGTTTTTAGTATTTTCGGGTCTGAGTTATGTATATATTAGAATAATAGTAACTTTTTGTATGTTTTGTGAATTTGTTGTTATTCTAGCAGGAACTGCCATGGTGGCAGGGAGCAAACATAAAAGCAGTGTTATTCCAGATTTGATAATATTATTCAACAATGTGGTGAGCTTTCTCACAATATTGGGTACGATTGTTAAAACTTTAAATTCATTGTACCTAAATTGAAACAATTTTTCTATGACAATCTTTTTATATATTTCGAATATAATCTTTCATACAAATTTTAATCCCGCAGCAACGCTCAGGTAGTAATTTCTAGTATATATCTAAATATTTTTTTTTATTTTCTTTTTACATAAATTGAATAGATTTTACAAAAATAAAGAAACAAAAATAAACGATATGTGCTGAAGAGCAAAAACCATTTCTTTCTCTCTCTTTTGACCAATTAACCCTGTAAAGTTGTGTTTGAATGGTATATTTTAGTTTTGTGGCTTTTGTTTTGTCACCACAATCATTTTCCATGTACTGAGTGTTTCTTTTTTTACCTTAGATTTGGTAGCTTTTTTAGAAAAGAAACCTATGAGGAGGGTCCATTTGGATAAACCAGGCACTTTAAAACACAAACCAAATTTTAAAAATTTGCTGATTGTTTTTCATATAAATTCCATGTAATGTGGAAGGATTCCAATTTCTCAGTTACTTGTGTCTAGAATTATAACATGTTTTTACTTCTCAACACCAGTGGAGGTAGGGTGGGGGCAAGGCATGCTTCTGACCCCCAACAAGATGCATGTGTTAACTACGATACTCTTAGTTCATCTTATTCTTGGTTTTGAGAGTATTTGACTACTGATTAAGATGGGTTTAGGAAAATTATGGCTCGTTTGGATGTGCTTTTAAAATGATTAAAAGATCTTTTAGAGAAAATGTTTTTTGGTTCCAAAAGCACTTAAAGTGCTTTTCCGGAATTTACTTGCATTTTTACTAAGGAGTGGTTCCAAAAAAATTTTCACCAAAAACACTTTCAGTCATTTAAAAGTATATCCAAACGAACTCGTAATTGTTCTACTAATTTTACAACAGTTAAGCGTTAAACTAACTAATAAAAAAAAATGGTGGGTCAATAAAATCATATAAGTGTGATATCATGGGTCTATAAGATTGGCAATCACCATTTACTTTTTGATCATTTGAGAGAATGTATAAAGGAGATATCAAATATAATGTGTCAAAATTTTGGTTGATGCCTGATGTGACTAATTGAATACAAAGGTTAAGTCTTCTTATTTTTTAATGGATGTGTCAAATATTTATTTTATTATTATGCTGGACCATGTAATTACATTAACTATTAAAAAGTTGTCAAAATTAATTTTAGTTTTTATTATGTTGGTTGTCAATGAGAATCATACATTGAAAAATTAAATAAAAATATTTGATTCGTTCATTTGTTGTTAAAAAAAAGACAGCTAGAAAGTAAGGAGTCAAATAGCTTAACTGCCACGTTATATATGACATCTCAATTGGAGAACACGAATGTCTTTTAATCTTATTTGGCATATTTGACATCTCATTTGTAGATGATTTAGGCTAGTTGCTTTTTATTATTGTTTAATAACGTGAGGGAAGTCAAAAATTAAATAAAAATATTTGATTCGTTCATTTGTTGTTAAAAAAAAAGACAGTTAGAAAGCAAGGAGTCAAATAGCTCAACTACCATGTTATATATGACATCTCAATTGGAGAACACGAATGTCTTTTAATCTTATTTAGCATGTTTGATATCTCATTTGGAGATGATCTAGGCTAATTGCTTTTTTATTATTGTTTATTAACGTGAGGGAAGTCAAAAATTAGAATAAGGCTTATGAATTGAAATGCCCCCTGAAATTTTCATTTAGTCTTAATTTAGCCCCTAAAATTGGTTTTGTCTCACTTTGCCCTTCAATTGACATTTTTCATTCTTTTGGTTTCACTTTACCCATTGTTTCGTTATAGAAACGTTAATATTGAAGTGCATTTTGGTGCATTTTGGACACTTTACTTTTTACACACCTCTTAAAAAATGTAAGTTAAAATCGAAATTGTAATTATTTATCACCAATTAGAGTAAGTGACTCAGCAATGTGAAGCTTTTGGTTAAAAAATGTGCACATTTGCTTTGGATAATTTTTTTTTTTTTTTTTTTTTTTTTTTAGGTTTTGGGTTTTGCATTAGAAGTATTTTGGACATAATAGCTTAATGGTTTTTTTATTTATTACTAGCAAAGGTCACACACTTTGTGTGTTGACAAATATATATTTTTTATATTTAAAATTTTTTTTTATGAGAGGAGTTATTTGTTTTTAACAGGTTGGTAAGCATCCCACAAATGGGGGTTGGCAGTTAGGAAAGAGAGAGAATGAGTTGGGAGGGTATTGATAAAGTAACATAGCTGAGAGTTTTAGGAAAAAAAAAGAGTAAAAACTTAGTTGTACAAAATTACTTTAATGCCCAATTTGTTTTCCTTTCTAATATCTTCTTTCAATTTTGTATTAAAGGGTATAGTAGTAATTTTATTAGTTTTTTTTGTTGACAAACAGTGTTTTATTAATATATAGTTTAGATTATATATGGTGCAATTATTCTAAGGTCAATTTTTTTATGGGTGAAACTTGTGATTGGGCCAATTTTTCAAGTGCAAAATTTCCATTGAGCCAATATATGGTGCAATAGGTTGATCATGTTTTCTTTATGTTGAGTATTTTTCAAGTACAAAATTTCCATTGAGCTAATACATGGATGTCTTGCAAATGAAGCGAATCTAGGAACAAAATTGTAACCTTTATTTTGGTTGATATAATGATTCTACTGCCATGAATTTTTTCTATTAATTGAATAATTTATTTTTAAAAGGGCCAAAAATCATGAGTTTGAATTAGAGTTGTTAAAAATGGAATTGAGATTGTTTTAGTTTGTAGGCTGAATGTAAATAGATGTGTAAAAAGTGAAATGTCCAGACCTTTTAATTTAATATTTATTTTACGGAATTGGGTGAAGTGAGATAAAGAGTTAAAAATATCAGTTTCACGGGGTAAAGTGAGACAAAATGTTAATAAACTGAGACTAACTATCAATTTCAGATGGTAAACTTGGACTGAATGTTAGTTTCAGTGGACGTTTCAATTAATAAGCCATTAGGATAAATTAGTCTTCTCATATCCATTATGGGCAAGTAAATATTTTATATTATTGTTGTGAGCGATAGTGCAATATACGTGTTTTCTACTTGCCAATTTATCTTGAGTGGTGATATTTACATACTTATTTTTACATCCCACACATTCATATTAATTTTTGTTCTTTGATCTTCTTCATTATTCGATATGATAGATGACAAATTAAGAAGAATGTGTAGAAGGTCATAAAAGGTGTGGATACACCCACTCTTTATCTTTAGGAGATGAGTCATTCTGGCCTTGTTTGTCGTTAAATTAAACTGTGAACGCTGTTTTAACACCGAGCGTTTGTAGTCCAACGGTTAGGATAATTGCCTTCCAAGCAATAGACCCGGGTTCGACTCCCGGCAAACGCATTATCCCATTTTTTGTTTTATTTATTTATTCTCGACTTCGCCTGTGTTGAATTGGGTTCCATCTATTCCCCCAACCTAAAGGAAAAGGAATGTTCCGCTGCCAGGAGTACAAATTAGGGGTGGGCACTTGGAACCGAAACATGAATCGAATCAGACTTTACCAAACGGTTTGTTTTTCCGGTTTTGAAACAGTTTGGTTTTCCGGTTTTGAAACGGTTGCGGTTTTGAAACCGAACCGCGGCAAAGAAAACAGTTTGGTTTCGGTTTTGGATTTTCAAAACCGCACCGAAACTGAAACCGAAACTGTGCCATATATTTTGAATGTTATGTTTTAACTTTTAATTAGTTCAACTACACTATTCGAGTCACCATATTCATCTGTCTCTCTCTCAAAACTCATCTTCATCTCTTCCACAGTCGACATCAGTGCCTCGGTGCTTGCATCTCTGCGACCTGGCTGGCTGCTTGCATCTCTGCGACCTCCCTTAAACTTTTTACCGATACTCAGCTCTGTGTACCTAAGCATTCATCGATAAGAGATGCGCCACCCCAAAAATCACACAAGGTTGTCTTCACGCTTCCCATGCTGGGTTTATTTAACCAACCCAGTGAGCTGTGCCACAATTCTGAGCTGAGTTGATGAGCTCAACAAGCTTAACAAGGCCCAATTATTTATCATTGAGTTCAAAAAGACTCGCAGGTGGACATAGCAAAGTAGGGCTTGATATAGAAATATCCAACATGATAAACACGAGATAATAATCTATTTAAACATGGCCCAAACAATTTATGATGTTAAGAGTTTTGTAATGTTTAGATGGGTTTCTAATCTCTCCTATCAACATCTTTTGATCCATTCTTGGTTTCTTATGCGTAAATAGGTGTAAATTTTAAATTGTATATTTCTTTTTCTATAAAATCAAACTGAAACCGTTTGAAATCACACCAAATCGAACCAAACGGTTTGATTTCATTTCGATTTTGACTTCCAAACTGCACTGAACAGCACTGCACCCACCCCTACTACAAACCAGATGTTGTTTAGACAAGTTCCTCACACCATTACATAGGCCCGAACTCAAAATTTATAAACAAATGAACCGTTCAAAGCTAGCAAGAATCCTTTGTAGAAGAATAAAACTGGATTATTTGATTAAAAGGTGGGTTTGACTCCTGGCAGCGGAAATTTCTGACACGACATAAAAACGACACGAAAATAATTGGTTTCGGATCAACACAATAATTAATCGGGTTATTATTGGGTGACCCATTAATAACAGGTTCTTAACGGGTATACACGTGGGTAACCCGTTTCGATCCGTTAAGAAAAAAATTATTTTGATAATTTTAAAGTTTAATTACTAAAAGATTTATTATAAAATACAATAGTCAAATTAATATATACAATATATTCTCTATTAAATCTATAGTTTTGTATTATTATTCTATATAAGTTATAAAAAAAAAAAATTTAGTCATTATTTATTTTTATTATGAGAGTTCCTTATTATCATTACTAGGATAAATTTTACTTAACATGTTGTTCTCCAAAATTAAAATAAACTAATATAGTTTTTGTATAGACAAGAACTAAGAAGACATACATACAAGTATGAAAAATGTGAAAGAATATTTAAACACTCGTGATTATTCCTCCACAAGTAGATAATAGTTACACTTACATTGTCGTTTAGATTTTTAAAATCCTCCAAACCATCATGAATAATGTTTTTTATTTGAGAGAAAAATTAATAATAATTATTGTAGAAGTGTAAAAAATGTAAAAAAATATATACAATCACTCATAGTGACAAGCTTTACAACTTTCATGACGGGATCATCTTCAAAATCCAACACTATAATCCATAAACCTTAAACTTATATTTAACCGTTGATTGTCATTTACGCTTTATTCCTCTTACTGAATTTCATTTTTTTTTTAATTTTCTTTTTTGAAAACATGACCATCTAGTGGATGTAAGAAGATGAACGGTTCAGATATTTGATATCACGTTTTGATATTTCCGGTTAACTGAAATATGAGTCAATGTCATATAGTTTGTAGAAACTTTATAAACATCAAACAATATTTTCACTAACCGTAAAACTCTGAATATAATATCAACGATCCAAATCGTTCATCTTCCTGCATCCTCTAATTGATCATGTTTTCAAAAAAGAAAATCTAAAAAAACAAAATTTGATGAGAACAATGAAGCGTAAATGTAAACAACAATCAACGGTTAAATTTTGATCTATGATTTATATGATTATAGTGGCGAATTTCGAAGTTAAGCTCTTCATGAAAGTTGTAAAGCTTGTCATTACGAGCGTTGATATATTTTTTTTTATATTTTTTACACTTCTACATTAATTAACAAATTATTAAAGACTTTACTTAAATAATAGCCGTAAATGAGAGTAAATATGTACCGTTGGATTCTATTTCACTTATATTATTAGAACTTTTTTGGATGAAAAAATCCCTTCTCTATTCCAATATTTTCCAATTTTACCATTTGATCTATTTAGGTAAGCAAAAATATACTTAAAAGAAAAATGTTTTTTTTTTTTTTATGTTTTGGATGTGACAATATGGTATGTATATACTTATTTAGTATTATGTTTTTCATTTGATTATTTATTGGTTTAAAATATATTTTCCTTAATGGGTAATGGGTCGGGTCATATTACCTATTAATATTATCGGGTCGGGTCATTTTACTCATTTATTTTAACGGTTGTTACATAACACGATCCGTTAAGATATCGGGTATGACACAAAAATAACACGAACATGAAAAACACGACACGAATGGCAGGTCTAATCAAGATGAAACATATATGGTATTATTTTTTTTAGTACACATTTACATCACTCTTTCGTGAAGGAAAAAAAAAATGTACATTACTAAAGTATTGACGAAATATGCTTTAAAAAGTATAGCTTAAAAAACCTAATCAAATTGAAAAATTGGACTTCAATCTTATGAGGCAATGTATAAGGCACTTCTAGAGCCAAATTCAGTTGTTGGAGCAGAAGAAGATACTGATAAGTAAACCGCACTCGGCCTCGGCCTCGGCCTCGTATCCTGCAGTTCGAATAGCTTCTCATTAGGATTCATAAGAATTTGCACCACCGTCCTCATCTTTGGTCTCAGCATAGAATATGTGTGCAAGCATGCAAGCCCTACAATCAATGTCCTCTTCACTTGTTCCTCCTCAAAATTTCCGTCCAACGTTTGGTCCACACAATCAAGCAACGCATTTTTTGCATATGAATTCCAAACGTGTTCTACTAAACTGTAGTCGTCCATGAACCCTTTTGATCTTCTCCCACATACTACTTCTAGTACCACCATTCCAAACCTGTATACATCTGACTCTGGAGTAGCTTTTGCAGATAACCCTAGTACTTCCGGGGCAATGTATGCGGGAGTTCCTGCCAAAGGGATTGTAATTGATGAGTCTTGGAACATTAGTCTAGCTAGCCTGAAATCGCCTAGATGAGCATTATTTGGTTTAATGTCTCTGTGCACGTTGCCACACTCTTCGTGGAGGTAGAGTAATGCTGATGTCAATCCTGTTAAGATTTTGTACCTTGTTCTCCAATCAAGGTATGGTTTTCCAATGTACTGATCGAGGCTTCTATTAGGCATGTATTCGAAGACCACAGAACGATGGCCGTGTCCGTGATACCAACCTTGTAGTTACACCATGTTCTTGTGCCTTAGGCAACCAATGGTACATATTTCTTCTAAGTACTCCCTTTCACCTGTTGTGGTTTGACAAAAAAATTGTCTCAGTAAACAGAAATCGAAAGAAACTATTAGGAAAATAATTGCAGTACCCAAACAAAAAAGTGTGACATTGGTTATATTCGTGTACCATATTGGTGTAACGTTTTGTGAATTATAGAACAATGCAAATAGAACAAACCTTTTTTGGAGGCTGCTGAAATCTTCTTGACAGCAACAATTTTAGGAGAATGTGATGAGAGGATGCCTTTGTAAACAACTCCAAATGCACCTGCACCCAGCAGATTTTCCTTACTGAAGTTCTGAGTGGCAACTAAAAGCTGTTTGTAAGTGAACATTTCCGGAGCATTTGCAGCTGTTCTTGACTGGCTTTCTATGTCCTCTCCATCCCTATGATTTCTCTTTACAACTCTCAAAATCAAAGGGTAAGTGCAGGCCATCAAAATTGCCACACGCAAGAAAATAGGAAGATCAACGGCCCATATGTTCTTAATATTTTTGTGATGATCTTTCTCAGCAGGCCCTAAGGGTATTCCTTGCAATTCAACTGATGTGAAAACCCAATCATGGACTTGATGGGTCTCTGGCAGGGTCCCAGTCGAGGCGGTGAAGCCAACATAAATTGTGAGCTTGGGACAATTTTGGACATGTCAATTGACTGGTTGAGGATGCTTATCAGTGCTGCTGGGTTCTCAGTGTACCCAGCAGAAATTTGGAGGATCTGACCCCGACCATCATAGGCAATTGTGAATCTGATGTCTCTTCCACTCTTGAGATCAATTCCTGAGATGTAGAGACTCTTTGCCACAACTGGGTTCATTATGCTTCTTGTGTCAATCGCTATGTGATTCCCATCTGGATCATCAAACCCGTTGTTCATGAAAGTATCTAGCTCAATTGCCATTTGTTTAACCACCCCACCTAATTTTTAGACAACATAAAATAAATTTGAAAAATTAATATACCAAAGTTGCCAAATTTAGCAATTCTAGCAATATATTATGAAACGCTAAATGCGGTTAGTAGTGGTATGAGGGTGGGTAGAGTGATGGACATCAATATGATAGGTTCAGGTTCGAAACCTTCCGATAAGACAAAAGAAGAAAATCAATCATGAAATGTTTAGTAGTAAACCACATTATGTGACTTGCAATGAGTTTCATTAACAATTGAAAAACTAATTTAACTAATAAATGTGGTTCTTCTAGCATTAATCTAAGAAGAAATTATGTGTGCCTTGCCAATCAAGAAATAAAACTTTAACAGGAAATATTAACTAACCTTGAGTTGATCTATCAAGGAGTCCAAGCAATGAGCCATAGCTATCAGGAGGAGAAGGACTAGTGTCCTGTGCAAAAATAAAAGCCATTCCGTCTCCAGCTCCAGTTGTATTTGGAAGGGCAGAAATCCTAACGGTGAAGGTGGTGGAGATAAATGCCGGCCAGGCGAGCACCGGGAGGTGATACAAAACCCTTGCAACCTTATACAATGGTGAAGAAGAAGATGATGAACTACTTAAATTGTCTTGTTGTGACTCTGGTGTGAGGCTCAAATACCCATTACTTGCCGTCACTGAGCCCATGCATATTAGGTCACCATTGCTAGAGTGAAGGTGGGGAACGAGAAAGTGGTACGTGTTTGATCGTTCATGGAGTGCACAGAGGCTTGGCTGCTGATGAGAAAGGTAGAGAAGAAGAGAAGAAAAAACATGGTTAACTGTAAATTGGAGGGAGCCATAGAGGCTTTGACTTAAAATTGTGTGCATACTCATATCATATGTGCATAATTATATAGGAAAATAAAGTTGGGGTAAATTACAGAATACCCCCTCAGGTTTGAGGTCTATTACAACCATATACAACATCTTTAAAACATTTCATTTTCATACCTTACGTATTATTTTCTTTCAAAATATTACATCCGTTAGATTTTCCATCCATTGGTCTGTTAAATGCTGACGTGGCTGCCATATTTGTGCTGACGTGGCTGCCATATGGCAAAAAAAATAATTTTTATACATTAAAAATATAATAATATTAGCCTATTAAAAAATAAAAAATAAAAAAAATAAAACCAGAAAAATCCAAACCCAGAAATCTTTCCCTGCAACCCCACATCCCACCCCCACCCCTTACCCATCTCTTCCTTCCTATCCGTCCATCCCCTCCACTCGAGCACCCCTCAGCGCGGGTCCCACCTCAACCTTTCTCTCTCTCTCTCTCTCTCTCTCTCTCTCTCTCTCTCTCTCTCTCTCTTTCTCTCTCTTTCTCTCTCTCTCTCTCTCCCTGCCTCTCTTTCTCGAGTTCGACGACTCCTCGGGGGGCCAACCACCGAACCCCTTCTCCTTGACCCCCAAGTCCACCGCTTCCTCTGGCTCCATCGCCATTGTTGCCCACCTCCAGAGCTTCTCCGTCAACTCTGACTTTTTCGACGGCCTGGGCAGGACTCTCTACGGGTTTGGGGGTTAGGTTATTAGGGTTTCGGAGTGGGGATTTTGTAAATGGGTTGGTTGGTGGGTAGAATTAGGTATGGAAGTGCTTCAATGGGGATGAACAGCAGGCTGAGTGGTGGATTTTGTAAATGAACAGATAGGATGTGAGGATCTTAGGATCCCTAAGATCCTCACAAAGAGAATTTGGAAAGAATGCTCATTTGTTTTTTCAACCCATTTTTTATATATTTTTTATGTTAAAGGGATGTTACTAGCCTTTTTATTATTCCGACCTTCTTGTTTTACCTCTCAACTTTTATGTTCATTTTAAAGTGTCGCTTGATTTCATAATTATCTAATTGCTAACTCATTATTTAAAAACCAATTATTCAAAAATTAACTAAAACAAAAATATTTAGTTGAACTCTTTGATTAACATTTTCAAAATTTCGATGTTAAGTCAAAAACATCATTCGTATATTTATTGGATAACAATTAAGTGACTAAACGATTTTGAATCTAGGTAATGTTTTTGTAAAGATAATTGTTAAAAAGTGTCTAAAAAATTAACAGCTTGAATTATCATTTAATATAACAAAACAAGGATAATGAGTTGTATATTATAAAGAGAAGGTTGCTAATAGTTCCATCTTTCAAATCCTCTTTGTATATGGTTTTGGTGGGTGCACATAGAGTTGACAAATTAATACATTGAGTTGTTAATAGGTATCTCTTAAAACCCGTTTAACTTAACATCAACATAAAAGAGAGTTAAGTTGATAATAGTGACGAAGGTGTAAGATAAAATCAAACCAAATAGTTCTAAATAAATGTCTATTAACAACCCAATAGATTAATTTGTCGTCTCTAATTGCCAATACAACATGATTTAACTGTTACATTGAGTAAAATTTTGACTAATGAACAAACTTTTGAAAAGTAAAATTTTGACTAATGAACAAAATTTTGTCTTTGTAACTAGCAGAAAAAGACAGAAGTTTGTTCAAAAGTAGCTCCAAAAACTTTATCACCAAATAAAAGCGGTAAATGGTAAGACCCCGCTAGTAATTGGAAACAAGCCAAATAATAAAAAGATCTTATTCTATCTTTCATTTTACTTTCTTGAGTATTACTACATTTATTATTTATTTGTATTATTTTTTAATAAAAGTTGGGGACCACCAAGACATATGGTTTTCATCTCTATTAAAAAAATAATAAAATGATTATACTAAGAATATAGCATTTTTGTTTTCTTTCTGTCTTTTGGTTCTCTGATGGTGATTGTATTGTGCCCACCTGGTTTACATGCAAAAAAGTTGAAACGTGATAATCACGACTGTTAAAATACTTAGTTAACATGCAAAAATGTGTGAAAAAAGATGATCCAACTTAGCACATATAATTCATCACACTTGGTATACATACAACCATGACTTTTTATGTTCTTGCAATGTTGTGAGAGATGCCCGGGCCACGGGGGAGAGGGAGAAAAAGAGTGATTAAAATTAAGACATAGATGAAGAGTACTTTAAGTGGTATTACTATATCACATAGTTGTAAGAATAGTGAAGTGAAGAAAAGCAATATCCATGTGGAAGATGAATCAATGGTTAGATTGAGTGACACTTGTCAAGAAATAACATAGGTTGTTATAAGGTAGCTTTTTAAAAACTATATAACAATCTTTGTAATTCAGTTGTAAGGCTGTCAAGAAATACAACAACCTTTTCTCTCTCTAAGATCTGATTCTCTCTCTTTCTCTCTATTTCTTTTTCTTCTGCGATCACCTTTGAGTTCTAAAGCTTCTTCCTCAAGTTTTTTCTACAATTCTAACCTGGTATCCTTACCATAGGTGGATCCAACGCTTCTGCATATTCTCTGCTTCTCTACAACATATATTTCTCTTCTCAACCCTCCGATTTGTGAATTCTCTGTGATTTTTTGGGTTCATCAAATTCCCAGCTTCGAAGATACTTGAGTGATAGTATAGTGCACACTACCTGTTCGACAAAAGTTCGAAGTGAAATTTCCTTGCAGCTACAACAATGGTCACTGCGGCGCAATTGCAAATTGTGCAATCACCCATTACAAATTTCATCACTACTGTTTCATCTTCAATTACGGGGAAATTGGATGACTCCAATTATCTTGTATGGAGCTTTCAGATGAGTCTTTTACTTGAGAGTCATGGCATTCTTGGTTTTGTTGATGGGTCCAAGAGGTGTCCACACAGATTTCTTGATGAGACAAATCTTGAAGGAGTTGAAACAAATGCCTATCAGGTTTGGAAAATACATGATCGTGCTCTTATGCAACTTCTCATAGTTACATTGTCATCCATTGTGATTTCTTGCATTCTTGGTAGTACAGGTTCTTATGAGATGTGGATAAGTCTTAAAGAACGATTCTCTACAGTCATAAAAGCCTTAATTTTTCAAATGAGGACAGTGCTACAAAACATTCAAAAGGGGTCTGATTCTATATCTGTTTATCTGCAGAAAATTAAGGATGCAAGAGATCATCTTGCTTCAACAGGTGTTTTTTTTTAAGATGAGGACATAATCATTCTTGCTCTTAAAGGGTTATCAGCTGATTACAATACCTTTCTATGTGTTGTTCGAGGAAGAGAAAATGAGATTTCATTGAAAGATTTTCGATCACAGCTTCTTGCTGAGGGAGCAATAATTGAATAGTCTTGTAAGTCCTCTGTGAAATTTGGGTCTGCAATGGTTTCTAGTAATCAGTCAGGAAAAGAAAAAACTCTTAGTCTTGAACAAGTTCCATCCCAATCTCAGGACTTTGATATCAGCTCCTTAAGCCAAGGTTTCAATATTAATGGAGCATCTAGTTCCAGTGGGTCTAATTCTGGTCAAGGGTCATTCTCTTCATATGGCTCTGGAAATTTCAGTGGCAATCCATCTCACTTTAATGGATATAAAGGTTCTAATTATAGAGGAAAAGGAAGAGGTAGATTTCAATACAATAATGGTCCAAGATTTCAATCTTCATCATACAACTCAGGTCCTGGAATTCTTGGTGCCCTAAAACCATTTTAACACAACTGTTCTGATCATCCAAGTGAGATTCCTGTTTGCCAAATCTGCAACAAGAAGGGTCATGTAGCTACAGACTGCTTTCAAAGGCACAATACATCATCCAGTGGAAATGGTGCAATCATACAATGTCAGATTTGTTGGAAGTTTGGGCATTCAGCAACTCAGTGCTACCACAGAAACAATTTTGCATACCAAGGAAGACCACCCTCACTCAATCTCACTGCAATGCAAGCCAATTATAATCCTTTTGCACCACCTGAACAATTTTGGGTTGCAGATATTGGTGTCACATCTCACATGGCATCAGAACTTGCAAATTTGAATATATCTACTCCATATCAAGGCACTGATACAATAACCACTGCTAGTGGTGCAGGTTTGACCATTTCTAACATTGGTACATCAACACTGGAAGCACCTAGCCACACTTTTACATTGAAAAGTGTGTTGCATGTTCCTAAGCTATCACAACAACTAGTGTCTGTATATCAACTATGCAAAGATAATAAATGCAGATTCATATGTGATGATATTTCCTTTTGGGTTCAGGACAAAATCATAGGGAGAATACTTCTCAAGGGACTGTGTAATGTTGGTTACTATCCCATTCCATTCCATTCTCCACATAAGCCATTATCTGCATTACATTCACATGCATGCTATCTAGCCAAACCTGTTCATACAAGCTTATGGCATCAGAGATTAAAGTATACAACAAATGCGATTACTTCTGCAATGCTACAACATACAAAGGCTTCTAAACTCAGAGACACTTCTCCAATCATCTGTACACCTTGTTTGGAAGGCAAATTTACAAAATTGTCTTTTTCCTTTCCTGCAACTAAATCTGTAACTCCATCAGAAGTAATTCATAGTGATGTGTGGGGACCTGCCCCTGTGTTGTCATTTGAAGGATCTAGGTACTATGTTAGCTTCATTGATGAATGTACCAGATACACATGGATTTTTCCAATGAGAAATAAAGGTGAAGTTTTTGCAATATTTGTTAAGTTTCATACTTTTCTCAGTACTCAGTTTTCTGCAAATATTAAAACATTTCAAAGTGATGGTGGTGGTGAATATACAAGTCAC